CAAAGTTATAGATATTTCATTGATTCCCCATTATATCTTATGGCCGGATCTCTGTGGCGGCTCCAAAGCTTTGGCCGGATCAAGGCGGAAATCCAGTCCAGAGCTCCAGATTGGACTGTGGCCATCTGAAGCAGCCGGATCCGAAGGCAGATTGGATTGCTGCCGACTCGCACAGGCCTAGTATCTTTCACTTCTCCTACAGCCGGGGTTTTCAACCTTTTTAACAAGTGTACCCCTTCTCTCTCAAAGTTCCAGCTCATATACCCCTTTTTTTGTTTTTGTTTTTAAGCGGCAAGGGGGAGGAGCAAATTGAGGCCCCTGTGATGAGGGAGTGGGGCTAGGGCTCCACACCTGGGGGAGAGGAGCTGAAAGCAGCTGGGGGGTGCGGGGAGGGGATGGTGGCTCCTGTTGGTGCACACGCCCCAGGAGGGCATGGGGGCATGTGCCCCTGGATCCTCGTGCAGGGTGAGGGTGGGCTGGCCCAGCAGTGGGGGAGGAAGTGGAGCTGAAGCAGGGGATGTGCAGCCAAGGCAGGGCACAGGAGCAGCTACATGCACCCCCAAGAGGACACAGAGGCCATGTGCCCCCAAATCTGCATAGGGGAGGGCGGGCTGCTGCTGCAGCTGGCACCAAGCTGTTCCCGGTATGGGGCTGGGCCGTGGTACGCTTGGGGCGGGTGGCAGTGCTGGGAGATGGGGTTGGTGGGGTTACAGCTAATTCTGGAGTGGCTGCAGCCCCCCCTGTAGCTCTCTCCCAGCACCACTGCCGCCCACCCTGAGCACAGCTTGGTCCAGCCCCCTCCAAGAAGAGCCCAGCACTGCCCCAACTCCAGCCCGCAGCAGCAGCCCTCCCTGCCCTGTGCAGATCCAGGGACTTACATGCCCCATACCCTCCCAGTGTGCGCGCAGCAACAGGAGCTGCCACTCCCTACCCCTGGACAAGCTGCTCGCGGTTCCATCCTGTGGTCTCCCTTGACTGGGCAGCACCTGCCTCTGCCTCGCTCCCTCCCCCACCGTAAGGGCCTCAATAGAGACCGCGAGAAGCTTTTCTGGCTGGTACAGGGAAGGTGGGTGGCTCCCGCCTCTACGTGCACCCCTGGGAGCGCATGGAGGGCATGTGCCCCTGGATCTGCACATGGGGTGGGGCGGGCTGCAGGGCTGTTCCCAGTGTGGGGCTGGACCAGGCTGTGCTAGGGGCAGGCAGTGGCAGTGCTGGGAGGGGAGGTGAGGGGGGCAATGGTGAACTCTGGAGTGGCTGCAGCCCCCCCAGGAGCGCAGCCTGGCCCAGCCCGCAGCGACAGTCTGCCCTGCCCTGAGCAGATCTGGGGGCACATGACTCAGTCCAGCAGCCCGCCCCAGCTAGGCCGCCCTTGCCCTAGCCCCACTCTCTTCTCCACCACTGGGCCCTCGATCTTTCCCTCCCCACAGGCCTCTTCGCTCACAACACACTTATCAACTGGACCCGACTGCTCACCTGCGTGCTGTGCTGCAGCTGTGCACATGCACTCATGCACCATTTAATCAGCAACATTAGGTCTGTATACCCCCTAGGCCCTTTTTAAGTTAGAGAGCTTCTGGAGGGGCTGGACGCGTTCAAGTCAGCGGGTCTGGATGCTCTCCACCCCAGGGTGTTGAGGGAGCTAGCTGGGGTTATTGCAGGGCCCCTGGCACGGCTCTATGAGCGATCGTGGTGCTTGGGCCAGGTGCCAGATGATTGGAAGGTAGCAAATGTGGTCCCCATCTTCAAGAA